TGCTGTTTTTGTCACTATTGCTCTGTAGTATAGTTTGAAGTCTGGTATCGCTATACCGCCTGATTCACACTTCCTGCTTAGAATTGCTTTTGCTATTCTGGGTCTTTTATTTTTCCATATGAATTTCATGATTGTCAAAGCTAATATTTTCTATTTGTGCAAATTTGGAAAAGTTCCTTAATTTATATGAGCCTCAATTTCCTGTCTGTAAAATAAGATAATCATAGCATCTTCCTCATACATATGTGAGAATTGACCTAAAAATCTTGAAATAGTGCTTGGCATGTTGCTGATATTTTACAGTGCTTCTAAGTTTTACTATTGTTATCTTCAATGATAAATGGTCCAATATTAGTCATACTACCTATTATCTTGTTCAGATTTTATTTTGTTTGAAATTCTCTAAGCCTCTGGTGGTGAAGGCTATTTTCTTTATTCTTAAATTTTCAGAGTACAAACACCTGGCTACCAATCACTTTCTTCTTTTTCTCTCTCTTTAAAAACTAAGTCAAATCAAAGAACCCACCTATAATATATGATCATTCTTGCTAAGCAAGGAAACAACTTACTTTACACTAATGTGGATGGGCCAGCAACTTTTACTTAGGCTCAGAGCTGAATAAGATGCTCTGCTATTTTTTCAACTTGTAATAGTGCTGTCAATATCTATTATGACTTGAAGTGTTCAAGCCCTCAAGGAAGACTGTTGTAACTGCACTTCCAACCGATAAGTACCACCAAAGTGAAACTAAGGTCTAGGCCACATCTCTCCACGCTGTGTTTTTCACTTTTCATCTCACTCCCTTCTTCCTTTACCACTGCCTCATTCAGATCATTATAATAAAATCAATGAGAAAAAGATTATCTCAACAACATAACATCTTGCACTGATTATCAAAATCCTGAATGCTCAGTGTAGCATGAGAAGTGATAGATAGTATCATTAGAGAAATTTGACATAAGTAATTAATAATACTGTAAATTTTCTATGAATATGATTATTTACTTTATAGTCAAAAAATCAACTAGTGAAATTATTTTGCACTTTTGTCATCTTTTAAAAATAACTAGAAATACTTCTGTACCTTTGTTTATATCAATGAGCTGTTTCTTTTTCTTCTGGCGTTCCACTTTTTCTTGTTCAGCTTTCTCTTTTGCAAGCTTTGCCCTCCTAGTCTTCTCTTCCATTTCTCTTCTCTTATTGTTTTCTTTTACTGCTTCCTGTAGGTATAAACACAATTAAACAAAATCCTTTCCATGAGTTTTATAATGGGGAAGTTGCATGGTTTTAAAATTATACAAATATGCAGAGATGGAAAGTTACTATAGCATCCTCAAAGTATGTGCATATGTTTTTAAGAATGACAACTAATTAATCTAAGACAGCTCTTCTTGAAAATAATTTAGAAATAACTGAGTCTTCAATTGCCACTATCTGGGGTGCAGGAAAATTAGGGACATCAATGTTGCAGATTTAGCAATAAAATGCTTTCTCCATTGTTGAAATATGAAATAGTTTTGATACGAGAAAAAGCTTAATATGGCTCAGCAAGCATTTTATTACTTACTGTACAGTTTTTTGTTATCTGCAAAGTGGAAATAAAAAAAAAACAACTACCTCATAGGATTTTTGTGAGGAGAAATGAGGATTTTTGAGAGAAGTGTTTTAAGCATTTAAAGTACTTAGAACAGAGTTAAATATAATCAAGAAATTTTAGACTATGATGTTGATGGTAGTGGTTACAGTGCTACTGGTAATGATTACATCTAATGATGCAGAGCATAAAACAATCAGCACTGTTATCACAGAAGAGAAATATCTGCAAGTTTAGTCACTTTTTATGTGAAAAAATATTTCAAAATCTTCAAACATATTTCAAACTATTGTCTGTTTTATTTTGGTTAGATTATTTGTGGAATGTCAGTGAATGAATATATTTCAGTAGATGGTGTTAGAGAGAGTTGAAGTAAAATTATTGGCTGGAATAATATCAACTTCCTCAGAATTCAGACAAGTCACTAATACAGAGACATATCAACTACAAGTTCCTTCCATCAAGTTGTTCTGGTTTTATTTCCTGTTATGATTGATTAGATATACTTCATAGCATGTACAAACTATTTTGCCCAACTTACTTTGTTCCAGAAACCCTAAAGAAAAAGACTCAATTACAAGAATACATCTACAAGACTTTGCCTGAAGCAATCTATATTGAAATGTTTTTTCTTCATGTTAAAAGATATAATAGTTTAGGGCTAGGGCTGTAGTTCAGTAGTAAAGCATCCGCCTCACATGTGTGGGGAACTGGGTTTGATCCTTAGCATCCCATAAAAATAAATAAAGATATTGTGTATTTAAAAAAAGATACAATAGTTTAAAATATCCCTAAAAACACTTCCAAACTCTCCTGACTTGTGTGAGTTGATTTTCTTCTACAAAATCTAAATGAGCTGGGGATGGTCCTACACACCTGTGACCCCAGCTACTCAGGAGCTGAGGCAGGAGGATTGCAAGATTGAGGCCAGCCTAAACAACAAAGAAAGACCAGACCTTAAAAAATAAAAAGGAATGGGGATATAGTTCAGTGCTTTCCTAGTGTCAGTGAGCCTCTAAAGTGAGCCCATTGATTCAATCTCCAGTACTGAAAAACAACAAAAACCAACCAAACAAAAAGCCACACACTCTAAATGATTTGATCTTTTTTGGTATCTCCCCTTACATTACCCTTGTTAGGCTAATATCCCCTAGCAAAAGATTATGAGCACAAAACTGTCTGGCAACTGTACACCAACTCAAAGAAAACCATATAAAATAAACAGGAAAATAAGAATCAGAATTTTAGAACAGCTTCTCATACCCAGCTTTACTGTCAATTTGGGTTAGATAGTTCTTCGTGGTAGAGGTCGTCCTGTGCATTATAGGACATTTAGCAGCATCCTTGGCTTCTACCTACTAGATACCCAGTAGCATCTTTTTCAAATATGACAACCAAAAATGTCTCCAGAGATTACCAAATGTTGCCTAGAGGGGAAAACTAACTTGAGAACTACTAACTTAAGGGGTTTTAGAAACATAATGTACTCAGAAAAAAAATATCACATACTACTACTCTGCAGAACCAATTGTCTTTTTACAGTCATGGAAAATGAGTTCTAAATGAGCATATATAATTACAAGGTTGGGAGGAGAACCCTTGTCTTTTCACTCATATTTTAGTGTCAGCTTTGTTCTTTAAGGAAAAATAAAATGTAGATGTGACACCAAAAGTATAAGCAATAGCCCCTCAAAAAAATAGACAAATTAGACTTCAACAAAATTCAAAGTTTTTGTTCATCAAGTTATACCCAAAGAAGGTGAAGAAACAACCCACAGAATGGGAGAAAATATCTGAAAATCATATATCTAATAAGAATATATAGGCCAAGCCAGGCACAGTGGTGTACTCCTGTAATCCCAGCTGCTTGGGAAGCTGAGGCAGGAGGATTACAAGTTCAAAGGCAGCCTCAGAAACTTATGGAGGCCCTAAGCAACTCAGTGAGACCCTGTCTCTAAAGAAAATACAAAAAGGGCTGGGCATGTGGCTCAGTGGTTGAGTGCCCCTGGAATCAAACCCCAATAAGAAAAAGAAAAAGAAAAAGAAAGAAAGAAAAGAAAAGAAAAGAAAAGAAAAGAAAAGAATAAAATATATAAAGAACATCTCAAAGAGAAATGAAGGGAAGGGAGGAGGGAATAGAAAAGACAGTGGAATGAATCTGACATTACTTTCCTATGTACATAAATGAATACACCACAGTGAATCTCCAGATCTTGTACAACCACAAGCCTAGAAACCTAATTAGAACAAGATGTACTCCATGTTTGTATAAATATGTCAAAATACACTCTACTGTCATGTATAACTAAAAAGAATTTTTAAAAGGTGAAAAAAATATATAAAGAACATCTACAACTCAATAAAATGGCAACTCAATAAAAATGTGCAAAGCATTTGCAAAGATATTTCTCAGAAACCATGAATATTGCTAATAAGTACATGAAAAGATGTTCAACATCATTAATCACTAGGAAGATACAAATCACAATCATATTGAATGGGCTGGAAGTATAGCTCAGCGGTAGAGTACTTGCCTAGTATGTAGAAGGTTCTGAATTCAATTCCCAATGCCACCAAATATGAAAATTAAAAAAAAATACATTGCTGTACTACTTCATACCCACTATGATGGCTATAGTAATTTTAAAAAAGAATAGAAAACAAATGAGGATGTGGAGAAATTGAAACTTTTGTGAATTACTCATGTGAATGTAAAATGGTGGTCATTTGGGAAAACTGGAAATTCTTTAAAACACTAAGCAGAGTAAATGGTAGCATAACCTGATTTGTTGGGATCCCCGGAGTCATGCCTCCCAACCTACAGGAGCATTGCAGTTACATGAGCATTATTCCTAACAGCTGAAAACTAGAACAAACTCAACTGTTTACCAACTAGTGAATGGATAAACAAAATACAGTACATATCCATACAATGGAATATTATTCAGCAATAAAAAGAATGAAATATTGATTCATACTAAAATTATGGATGAATCTCAAAAATATACCATAATTAATTAAGATGCCAAGCATAAAAGGTCACATATTGTGTGATTCCATTTATATGTAATGTCCAGAACAGGCAAATCCATAGAGACAGAAAGTGGATGCATGGTTGTGAGGAGGTGGAGGAAGGGTTTCTTCCTGGGGGTGATGAAATTCTTCTGGAATTAGTGGTGATGGTTGCACAACCTTGTGAATATACTAAAAACTACAGAACTGTATACATTAAAAGAAAATTTTATGATATATAAATTACATTTCAAAAATTAAATTGAACATTTAAAAAATAGATATCTGAGAAAGGCAGGATTGAAATAAAATAATAACTCATGGAAAAAGAAAGACAATGTGAAAAGGTATCATATATTCAGACCCTCATGCTAATAAGCTGTATGACTTTTGGTCAGTAACATAAGATGCAAGCAGCATAGGAAAGAAGGTTAATGTCATGCATATGTTATTACCTGTCAAATCTCTCATGTGCTAAAGAATCACAAGATCTCAGTGGACTCTTGTATTAATAATCTAATGGGGTATGTTAGCTGTAGATTACTGTCATTAGGGATCTTCACTAAAAGTTCATTAAAATGGAGGGAAAAGATCCCAACTGTTATCTTGCATTTGTATTTCTTCTTCTGGTAATATGAAATATATATTTGGTCTTCCCAGTTTCCTGGCATACAACTCCTGAAATCCTTGGAATCTCCAAAGTAATAGTGTCTTTTAGTAGGCTAATAAGATTAAAAGTGGTTGGTAGCCCATTCAGAGCTTCTGGAAAAATAAAGGGAAGATTAAAAAATGGAATTTTCAATTTCAAATTCCAATCTGGGGAGAGAAGAGGGACAGAAGGTTAAAATGATCACCAATGGCCAACACTTTAATTAATCATGCCTTTGTAATGAAACCTCCATAAAACCCCAAAAGGATTGGGTTCAGAGAGTTTGCAGACAGATAAATATGTGGGGGCTTGCAGGAAGATCAACAGGAACATGTCCCTGTGCTGGGAGGGTGGTATACTCTCCTTGGAGACAACTCCAGGGAGACAGAAGCTCCTGCAATTGGGACTCTTCCAGACCTGGCCCTGTATAACTCTTCATCTGGCTGTTTATTGTATCCTCTAAATATTGTTCATGGTAAACTGGTAAACATGTTTCCCTGAGTTCTGTGAGCCATTCTAGCAAATTAATTGAAAAGCTGCAGTGAGGGTGATGGTGGTGAGGGCTGTCCGGGGAACCCTGAATTATAACCAGTTTCACAGGTCAAACAAACCTAGGCCTGGTATCTGAAGTGGGAAGAGAAGCAATCTTGGGGACTGAGCCATCAACCTTTGGGATCTAACACTATAGTGCTTGAGTTGACATGGATTAGAGCACACCCAGCTGGTATCATGATTACAAAATTGTTTGCAGGTAGGGAGAAACATCCACATGTTTTAGAGCCATAAAAGTCTTCAATGTATGAAACATGATATGTCAAGAGCTTTGTAATGTTTTGAACAACCAATAAAAAAAAGTCTTCTGTGTTGATTATTGTGGTGGAAGAGCAGAGGGAAAACAATTTTTCTACACACGTCTTTATTCTGATAATAAGAGCTACTCTAACGATAATCTATTAT